GCGTGAACCAATTCAAGTGGGCTTGAAAGATAAGTCAAGTCGGCCTCGGTGATGAGTAGAGACGACTTGACCTAGCCCTATATAAGCTTAAGGCCCTGCTCTCATCAGACACGTTCTCAAAACCTATTTGCTTCCACCTCCTCTTCTCTTTCTTCACGGCATTTATGTCATCCTGATGATAGCTCCGCTTTGCTTCAATTCAAGAAGGCCTTTTCTATTCATACTCTTTCCTTATATTCTAATAGGACAATTTCTTGGCAGAAAGGCAAGGATTGTTGCGCATGGAGTGGAGTCACTTGTGAAAAGATGACTGGTCATGTGATCAATCTCAACCTTCATTTTGGTGGGCTTCAAGGCAATATCCATTCCAACAACAGCTTGTTCTTTCTTCGCCATCTCAGGCGGCTAGACCTCTCAAGAAATGATTTCCGAGGTTCCCCAATTTCCTCCAAGTTTGGTGGCTTTGTAAGTATGACTCACCTTGACCTCTCTGACTCCAATTTCAGTGGCCCAATCCCTTCAGAAATTTCCCACCTTTCCAACTTGGTTTCACTCAATCTCTCCCAAGCTCCTGTGACACTAGATACTCTTAGCTTGAACAGAATTGTTCAAAACCTAACCAATCTTAGGGAGCTTGATCTGGCTGCAGTTGATATGTCATCAGTTGTACCTGATTCCTTCAACAATCTGTCTTCTTCGCTGACAACTCTTATACTCTTTCATTGCCACTTGCAAGGAAAATTCCCAGAGAGCATTTTCCACCCACCAAACCTTCGACAAGTGGATTTAGGTTCAAACTATAACCTCACAGGTTATTTCCCCAAGTCTAACTGGAGCAGTCCACTCGAAAGCTTAGACCTCTCTCATACTAGAATCTCAATAGATTGGCATCATCTCACCAGAAACTTCAAGTCTTTGAGATATTTGTTTCTCAGAAATTGCACTTTTGTAGGATCATATCTTGCATCGCTTGGTAACCTCACACAAATCATGATGTTAGACCTCTCATATAACGGTTTTGGTGGCCATATTCCATGGTCGCTTCTAAACCTTGAGAGACTCAAGGACTTGGATCTTAGTGGCAACAATTTTGTGGGTCAGTTTCCAGAAGTTGTGCACAACTCAACAGGGATCTCTTCTTTATATGAATTTTCAAAAAGGCAACTGGTGGGACCTATTCCTCGACACCTAACCAAGCTCACTTTATATGACAACTCACTCAACGGAACGTTGCCATCTTGGTTAGGAAGCTTGCCATCATTGGAGGAGTTAGACCTCGGAAGAAACCAACTCAGCGGTAATATCTTTGAGTTCCAAACTCTTTCTTTGTCACGGCTTGATTTAAGTTATAACAAGTTGCATGGCCTGATTCCAAGATCAATCTATGAGCTATTGAACCTTGGATGGCTTGATCTATCATCCAATTACTTGAGTGGAACAGTGGAGTTCGAAAAGTTTTCAAAACTCCAGAGTCTTGTTAGGCTTAATCTTTCCTCTAACCATCTATCCTTGAGTTTCAACGATTTGAGTAACAACACCTGGCTTGAACTTAGGACACTAGATTTGTCGTTTTGTAACATAAGTGAGTTCCCATACTTTCTAAGAGCCTCACCAAACTTGGAAGCTTTATACCTTTCCCACAACCGAATTCAAGCCAACCTTCCCAAATGGTTGTTGGATGTGGGGAAAGAGTCATTGACGTATTTAGATCTTTCTCACAACTTTTTGACGGGTACTGTAGAACTTCAGTGGAAAAACCTTCAATATCTTGACCTTCGCAACAATTCACTCCAAGGAAAGCTTCCAATTCCACCACCTTCCACATTTTACTTTACCATATCAAACAACCAATTAATTGGAGAGATTCCTCCAATTATTTGCAGCCTGAGTTTCCTTGAAATACTTGATTTGTCTTATAACAGATTGAGTGGTAAAATTCCTCAATGCATAGGGAACTTCAGTAGGCTCTCCGTTTTGGATCTAAGGAAGAATAAATTTGATGGCATCATTCCTAATACCTTTTCTACGCGGAACATTTTGAGGAATCTTAACCTTAATGGAAACCAGTTGGAAGGGCCATTGCCGTTGTCTTTGCTCACATGTAGAGAGTTGGAAATTCTAGACGTTGCAAAAAACAAAATTCATAACACATTTCCCAATTGGCTGGAATCTCATCCAAAGTTGCAAGTTCTTATGTTGAGGTCGAACAAATTTCATGGTGGAATAGGTAATCCGAAAACTAGATTTCCATTCCAAAACTTGTGCATCATGGACCTCTCCAATAATCAATTTAGTGGTCTTTTGCCAACAAAATATTTTGAGCATTTGACAGCCATGATAAACTTACAAAAACAGGAACTGAAATATATGGGAGAACAATATTGTGAGGACACTGTGGTCGTAGCAATTAAAGGTATCGAAATTGAAATGTTGAAGATCCAGACTTTCTTCACTACTATCGATTTCTCAAACAACGGTTTTAGTGGAGAAATTCCAAACGTGATCAGCAAACTTAAGTCATTGAAGGGGCTTAACTTTTCACATAATGAGCTTACAGGTACAATTCCACACTCGTTTGGCGATTTGAGCAATCTTGAATGGTTAGATCTCTCTTCAAATGCGCTTGTTGGTGAGATTCCGAAGCAATTGACAAATTTGACGTCACTTGGAAAGTTCAATGTTTCGAAAAACCAACTTGTGGGGCCTATACCTACTGGCAAGCAATTTAATACATTTGAAAATAGTTCGTACAGTGGAAATATTGGATTATGTGGATTTCCACTTGCCAAAACATGTGTTCCACATCCATCACCGCCATCATTACAACAAGAAGATGATTTGGATAATGTAAAGGGATTTGATTGGAAGGTAGTGTTGATGGGTTATGCATCTGGGTTGGTAATTGGAATATCTGTGGGATATCTTGTACTCTCCAACGGAAGATCGAATGGGCTTATGAAAGTGATCGGAAAAACACGATGGGGTAAAATTGTGAAAATTACACATCCGGCTGCGTGAAGAATCCGATCCAAAAGTATACGTTGTTTCATATTGTATTATTTCTTGTGAATATTGTAATTATGTGCATGAATTCAAGTAATATGCATGATATCTTGCACTCCAGTCTACTTTTGTCAAAGTGGAGTAATTTCTCATGATCCTAAAAAAAAAATTAATTATTGGCATGCACTCCTTACATTTTCAGGAACCCAAAAGAAAAAACAAAACACAAACTTTTCAAACGAAAAAAGAAAAAGACCCACAAAACAAATATTTGCCTCAAACCTCTAAGCAACCAAATGAAGGGCACAATCGAGAATTCCAAAAGGAAAACTACAAATTAACGTATTTCTCTTTCTTTCTTTTTTTTTGTTCTGAACAAATTATAACGTATGTCAACACATGGGTATCTCACAGTTAGCATAATTGAAGTACCATTGTTGCTATCCATGCCTCGAATTAAAGTTAAAACTTGAATTAAAAAAATGAAAAACTAAAAAACCAAATGTTACTAAATTCACAAAAGTAAAGGTACTTCCCATTCCAATTAGAACTTCAACTAAAAAAGAAAAAAAAAAAAAAACCCAATTTCTGCATTCAAAAGAAAGAAAAACAATTGCCCAAAGGACAACCAAGTCCAGCAGCTCAAGCACAAGAACTAGTACAATGAGTTATGCTTTTAACCATGCTAAACCGAGAGTAAAAAATAATCACACTTAGTGGCGGATCCAGAAATTTTGTTTTAGGAGTCAACGTATAAAATGTCAAAAAAATAATTTAGACAAAAGAATCTCGTGAAAATGAAACTATAAGATTATAATTCATAATTAATGAAAAAATCAACATTACTTTGAAATTTGAGGGAGACATCAAAATTCCAAAACAAATTGGGAGAGTTACTACTGACAGGATTCAGTGGTCGCCGGTGGTTGGGGAGGCGGTTGGTGTGTGGGTGGTGGTGGTGGTTTTGGTGTGGAGGGTTAGGCTTGGGAGGAGTCTGTACGGATAGGTTTATTTGGGTGAAATGATATTTGAAACAAATTTGGGGAGGGGGTATTGGGCTGCTTAATATCTGCTGGCCCTCTTTGTTTTTAGTATTATTTTACTTAATTCACATGGCCAACAATTTACTTAATTCACAATTTTTTATATTTTCTTGTATTTCCAATTTTATTTTTTTAATAGATTATTCAAGCACAAATGTGGTTCAGTGTCCTTGGCTAAGGCAAAAAAAGTTTCATCAATAACCAATGTTGGGACGTTGTGAAAAATTGTTCAAGATTCAAAATTATTTCCACGGGTCCGACGGTTGTGTTGAATGAGAAGCCGCTCCACGATTCACCAGCATTGGATTCGCCATTGGACTCCACAATGGATCAAGACTCACCAATCCAACGTGCGCCGAGGCCTATTGGGAGAAAAATGGCAAAGGCTAAGAGAGGGAGCACTTCGAAGACTGAATGTGCAAAAATTTTGGAGCAAATTGCTATCAATGGCGCACTGAGAATTGAGAAAGACTTGAAAAGAGATGAAGCTGACAAGGCACGATAAGAAGCATATGCAACATAAAGGCAGCAGGCACAACAACAAGAGATGGAGGACAAAGATATGAAAATCATGCTCGTGGATACAAGGCATATGTCTCCTGAACAAAGTCCTATTAGAAGCTAAAACGAAGGGATGTTATGATAAGAAAGTTTTTCCATGACGATGGACCTAGTAACACGGATTGGTTAAATGATCAAAACCATTAGGTTGTATTGAAAGAGTTGCCATATGTATTAATTTGTTGTATTGTTTCTCTTTTATTGAATAAAGAAAGCATTAAATAATATAGCTATTTAAAAACATTTCATATATCAAAACAAACCTTAATTCATTACAAACTACACACAAAACAAAGCATAATTAAAAAAAAGAATAATTTAAAACAAACCATATTTAAAAAAAAGAATAATTTAAAACAATCTGTTATTAAAAACAAAGCATTAAACTTGACTTCATCCACCGTGATTGCCTTTCATCACCCATAAGTGTTCGATCAAGTCAACTTGACGTCTCTCGTGAACATAAGAAGATTGTATTTCCATATAACGGTCAATCATATGGTTGTTGTAACGACCATTCCTAACCAACGGTTCGTGCTCCAGTGGTTGTCCATTTGCTCCCACGGGCCGTTCATAAATTCTTGTCAATGTCATGTTCATGGGATCGGGTTCGAACATCTCAGGGCCATCATAATCATACTCATCCTCCGCAATCATGTAATGGAAGATGATGCAAGTCATCATAATGCTCTGAAGCACCTCTTCATCAAACATACGAGCAACACCCCTAATAATTGCCAAACGAGCTTGCAGGATACCAAAACACATTTCAACATATTTCCTATAACCCTCTTGAAAGGCAATAAAGCTTTTTTCCTTCTTCAATTGGGGATTCGGAATTGTTTTGATGAATGTCGTCCACCTCGGATAAATTCTGTCAGCTAGGTAGTACCCACCCGAGTATACGGTATTGTTGATTTGATACGTAATATGGGGGGAATCACCTCTCAACACATCGTTGAATACCGGGGATTGACCACTCACATTAACGTTGTTTTGAGATCCCGCAACTCTGAAAAAGGCATGCCAAAACCAAGTATCAAATGATGCAACGGCCTACAGAATGATACTTTTTTTGTCCTTCCTATTCCCATAATCTCCTTGTCAAGCAGTTAGGTAATTCTTCCACTGCCAGTGTATGCAATCGATGCTTCCAATCATGCCTGGAAAATCTCGAGCCTTGGCTTTTTGTAGAAGCCTTTGGAGGTCCCTAGGCGTAGGTTTGCGGAGGTAATCCCTCGTGTAGAGAATTTCTATTGCATCACTGAATCTGACCAAGCACTCTAGGATAGTTGATTTCTCCGTCTTAGTAATCTCATCTGTAGGAATTTCAAAACATTTTTCCAAAGTTCATTTGAATATTAAACATGCATTTAATCAAATTAACTGCAGCAGAAGTCTAAGGTGGTTGTTTAAATTCAAAAACAAAACTTCTTCCAAGTATCTTAAGCCATGAACATTGATATGTTTTTCATAAATGAAAATTCAAGAGAAAGGATAAGATCTAATTACCCTTGAAGCAATTATATGAACCAATTTGTGTTTGGTCTTCTCTTGATGATTTCCTCTTTGTTGATCTCCTCTTTGATCTTTGATCTTTGCTCCTTGATCTTTCTCCTCCATGTGAGCCACAAAAGTATATGGCCTCTAAGTCTCCACACCAATGGAACCTTGAGATGAGAATAAGTATCTTGAGAATACTTGGATGCTAGTGCAAGATTCTCAAGATTGGTTTCAATCTAAACCACTTTGAAATTGAGGGTGTAGTTTTATAGAGAGATTTAGAAGATAGAGATGACACGTGGCGCAATTTTAGAGGGTGAAAATCTTATATGAAATCTGATATTATAATTTTATAATAAATATCGACACATGGCAACCAAAAATCTTATCTGAAATTTGAGATCTAAATGTTATAATAAATATGGACACGTGGCAACCGAAAATCTTATCTGAAAATTTAATTTGAAATTTGAGATGAGAATTTTATAATAAATAGTGACACGTGGCAACCGAAAATCTAATCAAAATTAATCGTTTAAGTATAAAAAATAGAAAATAAATTAAAATGAATAGTAATTGTCATTGCCCTTGCCCATAGGGATGGAAACAAAATATGCAAGGGCTGCCACTATTCACATAAATAGTGACAGCTTTTGCCTTGCCCTTGCCTATAGGGGTGGAAGTGCTCTTAAAAATCATTTTACATAGGGGTAAATTTTCCTTTAAAATTTTGAGAATAAGGTGGGTGAGGAAATAGAATAGAGGATGAAAATAGTATCACTCTTTAGTATATTATCAGCTCACAATAGGAAAGGTCTTCTTAGATGAAAAGTTTCTCAAAAGCCGAATTCAAAATAATCATCCAATTTTGATCCTTTTGTTGACGGTATTTGAATAGTGACAGCTTTTGCCTTGTCCTTGCCTATAGGGGTGGAAGTGCTCTTAAAAATCATTTTACATAGGGGTAAATTTTCCTTTAAAATTTTGAGAATAAGGTGGGTGAGGAAATAGAATAGAGGATGGAAATAGTATCACTCTTTAGTATATTATCAGCTCACAATAGGAAAAGGTCTTCTTAGATGAAAAGTTTCTCAAAAGCCGAATTA